GTTAAATATCAGTGTTGAAACCTAAAGCTAAATGTTAAATATCAGTGTTAAACCCTAAAGTTAAATGTTAAATATCAGTGTTAAATCCTAAAACTAAATGTTAAATATCAGTGTTAAACCCTAAAGCTAAATGTTAAATATCAGTGTTAAACCCTAAAGCTAAATGTTAAATATCAGTGTTAAATCCTAAAGCTAAATGTTAAATATCAGTGTTAAACCCTAAAGCTAAATGTTAAATATCAGTGTTAAACCCTAAAGCTAAACGTTAAATATCAGTGTTAAACCCTAAAGCTAAATGTTAAATATCAGTGTTAAACCCTAAAGCTAAATGTTAAATATCAGTGTTAATCCCCCATAGTGCAGAAAGTAAGCCTCGTCAGCTCGCAGCTCCTGGAGTGGTGAATCTAATCTAATTCAGAACGCCCCAGAATTATCCAGTGAATTAATCATGAATTAATCATCTGGTGAGCGCAACGTTCTCTTGCCCTCAGTAAATAAAGCAAAGCCACTTTCTTTATTTCATCCATCATTAAACAGAGACCAGCAGAGGAAAACAAGAGGCTCTTCATGACACGCCTCTACATTCACACAGAACGCATTCCTAAAAAAGCACAATCGTCCAACATGATGCATTGGGCGCGTTTTTGATGTTCAAAATACGTTCAGTTTGAACGTAGCTTTAGGCTGCTAACACTGCTAACACCGCTAATGCTGCTAACGCTTCTCTACAAGACATCAAACTTGAAGTTGCCGGTGTCTGAGCTGCACTTCAAACTGCCGGACCACAGGTTCCATCCATATTGTTTTCAATGAACACATTTTGAATAAAAAATTTTAAATCTTCGGCAGCGTTAGCAGCATTAGCAGCTTTGCTTTTGTCCCAGGATGATGATGTCACAACAAAAGCTGACCAACTGCAAAGGCTAGTTCCATTCTGAAATACTTAAATGTAAACTTTAACATTTAAGATTTAACTTTTACATTTAGATTTACACATTTAGAGATAACATTTAGTAAAAACAAACAGTGAGCTGAGTAATGAAAATGTGTTTGTGACATGTTTAAACGTCTCTTGGCGCCACACAGAGTCCAGTAAACACAGAACCATCAGACAGAGACAGCTGAGCGCTCAGCTTAACGTCAAACATAGATTCATAAAAGCTCTCAGTCTGAAAGCAGGAATCTGAACAAAGATTCATGTGTTCACTGTTAAAGATGCAGGTTAACCCTTAACCTCCTGCAGCTGTCATTCCTCCTTAACACTTCTGTCATTCCACCTTAACTCAGTCCTGCTGCAGCTGCTCCACACATGAATCATTTGTTGGAAGCTTTGTTCATCACACGGTTTTCTTCAGGAATTTTTAGATTTTTCACCTTAAAATGATTTTTTTTATTCTAGTGCTTTTATTGTCTTATTTTTATTTGTCTTCTGCTCCAAACGGTTCTGCATGAACTGATTAAATATTTTGATTATTTAATGTATTATTTATAAAAGTAAATTATTTATATAAATTATAATAAAATCATTTGGATGAAAATTGTTGCAGAAATCAAACTTCAGCTCTCAGATCTGTTTTTTTTTTTTCTTTAAAAATATAAAACTGATCGATAATCCGACCCGTTAGAACTTTTAGCAGAACTCAGAGTGGTTCTGGTTCTAGGGACCATCGATCCACAGAACGACTCGAACCCGGTTCGGCTCAGTTCGACCCGACAACACTCACCCCTGACTCCGGCCCCGGAGCCGGCTGTGCTGCAGAACCGACTGGTAGGGGGACCGGGCCGCGCACACGACCAGGATCAGGGACAGAACCGGAACCAGCAAACAGAACTTCATCCTGACTGAAAACAACTGGACCCTCGGTGCCGCTCAAAGACCTTCCTCCTCCTCTTCTTCCTCTCCTTTGAATCTCTGATTGTGTCCCGGAGGAGGAGGAGGAGGAGGAGGAGGAGGAGGAG